GTTCATACTCAAGCTAAATTTCAAATTTGGGCATTGACTCTTGCTTAGATGCGGATTCAAGCATATTGACTATGTAGGAACAAATTCAGGCACCACAATACCTAAAAATCCATTCAAGCATATTGACTATGTATGTTAAGTCTTAGGCTTTATTTGGGACGGCTATCTTACTGCTTCTTAAAACAACTTTTTAGAATAAAAGTTTTATTTGTTGTACTAGAAAGCTGCTTTAAGAAGCAGTGAGAAAGCCGTTCCAAATGAAGCCTTAATCTACTTCATTTTCAAAAAGTTATTCATGAACTATGTTTTCTTTAATAAAATCAAATTTGATTGCATAAGATTTTTGTATCGGGATAGAGAAAATAATCAAAATGATTCATTGACTTTTTATGAAAGATCAAAATAATCTCCAACTATATTAAAAGTCTATTTTGATCCTTCAACTCCTTAAATAAGTATGAAAATAATTCCACCATGGGACTATTTTTATTCCTTTATAAAGACTTGAGTGAACAAAATGATCATTTAATATAGTTGGTGACCATTTTTATCATTCATAAAGAGTCAATGGACTATTTTAATCCTTTTCTCTGTTGGAATATGTTTAATAGGCTCTGAAGGAGAAGACAATATATAACAATAGATACTTAATTCACCTTATTTTACTGATCATTTAGTTTCCATATGATTGAAATTCATTCAATTGGTTGTATAAGTTCACCATGGGACTATTTCATATTTTAATTGTCTAATCTCCCCTTCCAATACTTCTATTCTTTTTCCTACTATAAGTACCTGGATATAGGCTCCAAACAACAAAAAATAACAATTTGATGTGAATTTGGCCTTCAAAGAGTAAAAATCAGCAAGGAGGAGGTCGGAGAGAAAAATGTAGAAGAAATCAACGAGGAAGAATTTTATTTTCACCCAGGAAACCGCTCTGATATTAATTTGATAGGAAGCGCTTGTAGAAACTAATAAACTCTTGGCTGAAATTTAATTTCAGCAAATCCCAAAAGAAAACAACAAGAAGAACCATGATGAAGAACCCAAGAGAAACTTTTTATTGAATGCTATTAGGAAGAAAAACAAGATAAAAGTGAATCTTCAATTAGAGAGAGAAGATCGCGTTGTCCCAAATCCCTAGCCACCGACTAGAGCCCCCTCAACCTTCGAAATCCTAAATTCAGCCAAAAAATCACATGAAACCAACCCTATGGTAAACAAAACTACTTAGAGCATACAACATAAAGAAAATACCAAAAAAAGCCCTCCCTCTTTTGAATTCTCCCTCCTAGCCACCCCTTTCTTCTTTTGAACTAACCCCCGGGCCCCACCCCAAGGAAGGCATAATAGCAGCTAGGTGGACCAGGCATCTGCTCGGAACAAAACCTGGCCGATCCAAGTGGTACTAGCCTAACCATGCCCGGTCCAACATTATATTTTCCATCAAAAGCATGAACAAAACTTAAATCTCATGATAACCATGTCGTGCTTATTCAGAATCATGAATTATCAAATTCTATTTAAGTTGGATTTTTTTAGTGTTTTTTTATTGACACAAGTATTATATTCTACTTTTAGTTATCATGATAACACAGTCATAAGTTTTAATACCAATCAAATGAAGAATGATTTAGGGTATATAACTCGCTAATGTAGCCTACCTTGAGATGCAAATTTAAATAGCACAAGAAAAAAAATTGAGTTACATAATCTTAATTTTAACAAAAAGATAGTCGCCTTTAAAGTAAGATTAGCAAGCATGCTTCTTTTATTTTAAACAAATATAATGGACGTTAGGATCTAAAATCTTGCAATAAAAACAGTAAACAAAAATAAAATTTCAATAATGATCAATATTCATACAATGAAAGGACCACTAAATAAATTAATAGTAAGAACAAGGATGAAAATTAAAATAAAAGATTTGGACATCATACTAGTATATGGAAACTTGCTCTTGGAAGTAAATGTGAAGACTCTCAGAGCGCTTAAAAAATCTAGATCGGACAACACAAGTATTGAGAGAAAATCTAAAATTTATTAAATCATCAAATGGATATTAAATGTTTGGGGCTCTTATTTATAACTAAAATAAAGAGACAAAAACAGTAAGTATTTATAATTCATTAATATATGATCAAATATAACATGTTACACGAATTACATACATGAAAATCTAGATTACAATATAGGCGAAAATTGCATGTTGCTCGGTCAAATTAGCCAAAAATGAAAAGAGTCTTAGTAAGGAAGAAATATAGCAAGGAAGTAGTCAGTCATAGGAAAGAAGACAGTAAGAAAAAAAGTGGTAAACTTGAGGGATCATAGAGAGTAATGTCAAAATATTAGATTCAGATTTCAAGATTGCATATGCAATTGCAAATGTACAATTCAATGCCTAAAGAAAAGGTAAGAAAGTCTCTATTAAAAAAAATGGATCTGTGCAAACTACGAAGTTCTTTTTTTTTAGCTCGTCCTCATCAAAATGGCAAGTCACTGATGTATAAGAATTTCATTGACTTCTACTAATTTCGGTTATCAATAAATGATTTCTAGCAAATCTAAAATTAAAGTTAACTGAATAACAAGGATGAGAAATAAAATATATGGACAACAACTCCAATAGTATCAGCTTCAGTTGTCTTATAAAGCAATACTTCTGTCAAAATTTCATGCATGATGGACATACTCAGCTATATTCACTTTCTAACCAAGAGAATGCAAAAAAGCACTTAAAGCCGAAATGGAGCGTCCAATTGAAAGGAATTCAAGGCATTGGAAAATTAAATTCAAGGGATCATTAAGCTCAATTTTTGTTTTCTTATGTGGACACTACATACAATTCATCGAATAATACTTGCAAACTTTTAGCAAACCCCAGGGATAACAGCAACAAAACATGCTCATAAATAACTAAATATGCTAATAATAAAAAGATATATGGAAAGATCACGGATATAAAATCAAAGGACATGGGCACCATAGCATAATAAGCAACATAGAATGAATTGGCCACGACCAGATCAATATTGGGTGTTGACAAATAAGACCAAACCATGAAATCCAGCCCATTCAGAGCCCATTTGGTCAATTCCAGGCAGAGAACATAATAGAAAATGATGAGACGCATAAAATTTCATCATTTTGTTTGATGTAATTAGTAATCAACAATGGTTCCAAATCTCACAAACCCCCCTAACTGTAATGCTGTCATTTTCATGACACAAGCTTTCAAACAAAAGCAATCAAATGGGCTCCAAATTACATTCTAAGGAAAACAAAAAGTAACGGGCAAACTGATTAGCCCAAGCTTGCAATTGCCCCTAGAGTGTTTTGAAAGCTTATTTTAAAAAAAAAAAAAATAATGGCAAAGTAGCCCCTTCATTTCTTACTGATCGGGATAGATTTCCGTTTGAATCCTTTGAATCTTTTTATCACTGTTGAGCTCCTAACGAGTAATATTTCACTACTTGGCACAATAACAGAATACCTTTCAATTTTTCCTCTAGTCTCTGAAATACTTTTCCCTGAGAGGATTGATGTAAGACAAGAATGTCATAGTATGGTAAGTCATTATTATTGCATTTCTTTTGCTAGTTTATAATTAGTCTCTTGCCTTTATGTAATTATGAGGGGCAATAACATCATTTTTTTTTAGTTTAGGATAAGTTAAGTACTTAGCCTTGCAGGATAGTTTATTAGTTTATTATAAATAACAATTCAAGGGTTTTACTTTGGTGGATTATGATTATTAGAATAAAAATGGAACATAAAATGATTCTTCCTGCTCTTATAGACTGTGACTAATTGCTCGTCCTGTTTTCTTTTCATTGATTTCCTCAAGGCTTTCACAAATTTCACGTGGCATCACTCTACATCATTATCACAGACAATCTTCTATTCCACATCAACGTTTTAAAAAAAGGTTGATGGAAATAAACATAATCAACAACAACAACATCAAGCCTTTGTCTCACTATGTGGGATCAGCTACATGAATCCTTTTTCTTCATTATGTCATGTTAAAAGTTAAATTCTCATTTAAATCTAATAAAGAAAGATCTTTTCTAATATTTTTAACCAAGTCTTTTTAGGTCTACCTCTATCTTTCTTAATATAAGTCAAATCTAATACATCTACTTTCCTAACCGGGTCATCGGAAGGCTGTCATTTTATGTGACCAAACATCTAAGGCAACTCTCTCTAATCTTATCTTCCACTGAAGCTACTTCAACCTTTTCACATATATGCTCATTTTGTATCCGTCTCTAAAGGTAAATCCACTCATCCACCTGAGTATCAACGAGAAAAAATGTCCAAGTTGACTTCTATGAGAATCTTAAAAAAAAAAACTGAAAGATAAGTTAAGCAGAACTTCAAATAGAAAAATCTATTCTACTTGAATGAAAGCTGATTGAAGGAGAAGCTTATGGTAGAAAAACAAATGGAATAACAGCTCATGCCAACAATACAGATGCAAGAGTAAAAAAATCCATATAAAAAACTTGTTTTAATAAAAAAGTATTTTTTTAGAAATAATTGGCATAATCCTTAATCAACTTCTACCAACTTCACAAATATCTCCAGAATGGTATTTCGATACAATCGTGCACGACGTGCATTTTAGTAAAAAACGCCTTTAGAAAAAGGAAATGTTATAAACCAAAATTTTCTTTTTTTTCACTGTTTACACTCATGACAGAAAATTAACTCTAAGCCTTATTTATTCAGTAATAAACCAAAACTAAATAATCACAAAATCTGCAACGTATTTTCTAAGGTAGCAATACTAGAAATATATGAATAACATATACGTCAAGCTAATAAAGATCAGCAGCTGAAAAAATATTAGCAAATTTCCACGATAATATCATCAACAGCAGAAATCGCTCCTTCGCCACAAATCTAGAATTTAGGAAATAACAGGTGATCCCTAACACATTTAACAATACAGTAACGGAAATGGAAGAATAGAAAGAAACATTCTTTCTAACCTGCTTAGCCATATTACAAGCCCTGTCTGGAGAATTCAGGATCTCGTAGTAGAACACGGAGAAATTCAACGCCAGACCAAGCCGGATCGGATGAGTCGGGGGCAACTCTGCCGCAGCAATATCCTGGCATATCAACATACCGTAAGAAGATCGAAGTTTCAAACCTTAGCCTAACCCTAACCCTAACTCGTATCAAATGCAACAGATCGGGATGCCACTTACCTGCGCCGCCTTGTAAGACGAGAGCGTGTTCTCAGCCGCCTCCTTCCTCTCGTCACCACTTTTAAACTCCGCGAGATATCGGTGGTAATCGCCCTTCATTTTATAGTAAAATACCTTGGATTCAGCAGTCACGGCGGAGGGAACAAGCCGCGATTCGAGCAATCGAAGGATTCCCGCACAGATCGAGGACAGCTCGGACTCGATCCTCAATCGATAGTCACGCGCAGCAGCGGCGCGATCGGAAGCTCCTCGGCCTTCTTCCTTCTGCTCAATTGACGAGATGATGCGCCAAGAGGCACGGCGGGAGCCTACAACGTTCTTGTATGCGACGGAAATGAGGTTGCGCTCCTCGACTGAGAGTTCCTCGCCGTCGGGCAGGGAGTTGACTACCTTCTCCATGAATTCCACCATTTCTTCGTACCGTTCGGCTTGCTCGGCGAGCTTAGACATGTAGACGTTTTGTTCTCTCGTTGAGGCTGCCATCGCTTTCGAAGTCGCCGGAGAAGAGAGAAGCCAGTAAGAAGAAAGAGAAGAAGGGGAGAGGGCAGATGAGAAAAAGGCGAGTTTTTCATTTTAAAAGGAACGGATTTCGGAATCCATGAGAGCCGTTTTGGCCTTTTGGGAAGGACAACTGGAAAGTACTCAACATTATAATGAAAGATTTACATACATATCATCTTATATTTTTTTATTTATATATTTAACACTTAAAATTTTAATATTACATATATATCACTCATACACATCAAATATATTTTAATATTACATATATACCACTCATAGTTCATTTGCATATCAAATATGAGTGGTAGAAATAAAATATATGAATGATATGAATGAAATATGAGTGGCATATTTGATATTAAAATAATATAGGGTGGTATGTATGTAATATTAAAATTTTAGGTATTAGATATGTAAACATAATAGTATAAAGTGCTATAAACATTTGAAAAGAAAAAATTTCACCTATTTTTTTAGATCAAATTTTAAGGAGGACTATTAATATTTAAATTAACTCTAAGAGCATAATATAAAAATAATTTAAAATGAAACAAATTAGTCAAATCATTTAGATTATATCAAATAATTTGACAATTTGATATATTCAATAGAATGCACCAGATAGTTTGGTGCATTTTAAAAACACAAAACTATTTGGTGAATAAAGTTTGACTAATTTGTTCGTTTCTAAATTATTTTTATACCACGCTCCTATTTCTAAGTTATTTTTATATTATGTTTTTATAACTAATTTAAATATTAATAACGCTCCTTAAAATTTGTTCATTTTTTTATTAGTGTGATTAAACATTAAAAAAATATTTTTTTCTTAATTTTTATTTTTTTTATTTTTTTTGCCAAAAAGGATGGATTTATATTTAGATTGTTTCTTAATTTGTGCATTCATCTTTTATAATAATTATTTTAATTTTTAAAATATATTACATTAATAACTTATGGCAATGCATATCTTACATTTACTTTAAGATATATTACTTGTTTACATGCTAGAATATTAATGACAATAGATAGAGAGGGTTTAAAATTTTAATTTCATATAAAGATTCAACACATAGAGATAAATAAAAGTTATAAAAAAAAATACTTAAATTTTATATTAAACCCCTATAAATGAGAAAAATTACATAATTTGACCGGCTAAAATAATTGAACTAGTATATGCCATTGATTATAATTAAATTATTTATGTTCTCCTAATTGAAGAATATATTGATAAAATGTTGTAGGTATAAATCATGGATGATGTATTCCATAACAAAAGTTGACGGAGCCTTTAATCATTTGAGTCGTCTTCGATCAAAAGCTTTTTTGAGATATGTTTGATTATTCTCCTCGAGGAAACATGCTAAAAGACCAAGAAGTCTAATATAATATCAGTGTTTAAGTAGGGAATCAGAGCTTTTGTTTAAACATAGATCTTATAGGCAATGATGTGCATTGACACTATGAACGACTGCAAGCGATGAAGTCTGCATGCATCAGCATTATTTTCAATTTCATGCTTCAGCCTTATAAGCAATGTCATGTGCCGGCCGCATGCATCAGCTTCAAAGGTGATGTTCGTTGATATTGTGCATTGGTCTTATTGTCTATCGCATTCATCGACATTAAGCTTTGAGAAAAATGGAGTCAAAATATCTTCACACATTTTGTGTGCATCTTCTGAAATTTTGTCATTTCTCTTTGCCAAGGAAAAAAAAATCTTAAATCTTTCTTTTTATTTAGCCATTTTAGGAGGTCTAGGTGCAAGTCTTAGGCTTCATTTAGAACAGATTTCTTATTATTTTCTAAAGCAACTTTTCAGTAGAAAATTTTTTTGTTCGAAAATTTTTTGTATTAAGAAGTTGTTTTAGAAACCAGTGAAGAAGCTGTCGCAAATGAAGTCTTAGATTGAACAAAAATACTTCAAGTTATCCTTGATCCACAAACATACGATGCCTTGAAAGGATGTTAGCCAAGTTCTATAAGGTGAAGAGCAACAACATACTGAAATCGCTATACTGCATCTTGCATCATAATTCATAAATGCCTTCTTAATAGCCACGTCTAAATAGATTTAAGCTCCAAAATTTGTCCTATGGAGTTTAGGAGATCCTCACAGTCGAATTTACAATGATGACAACAAAATTTACAGCTTAATTAAAGATTCTCGTTGTTGCCCTTATATAAAGGAACAATTATTACGTCCTCTGACCGGACATAGAGCTACGTTCGGCCGCCAATAACATTTCGCGATGTGCTCTTACTTTTTACCGCGCGGCCCGACGACCGGAACCCGGGAATGCTATGTTCGCGTATTGCGAGGTATTACTCGGTATTTGCTCGGTATTGCTAGGTATTGCTTGGCAATAATGAGAAATACCGCTCTGTGAAGACCAATACCGAGTTGTATTGAGTTTTTCTAAAACTCGGTACAACTCTGTATTGCTCGGCATTGCTCGGTATTGGTTATTGCCGAGCAAAATCGACCAATACTTAGCAATACCGAGCAATACTTAGCAAAATCGAGAAATACCGAGCCATCCTGGGTCCGTTCCGGATCGGGTTGTACCGAGTTTGTACCTAGTTGGACCAAATAAAAGTTATATATATATATAGAGAGAGAGAGAGAGAGAGATTCAAGATAAAAGCTTGGAAGAAAATAGAGATTTTGTTCAAGGAAGATCGATGAGGTTAAAAGAGATCCTAAAAAAGAAGGAAGTCACGTCGTATTCGACATGAAGATATCTTCTTTACAGGTATTGATCTACTGTATGAATTGAAATACAATTATTATAAGATATTTTTATAAATGAAAACATGTTGATTATAATATTTTTTCTAACTATATGCAACTTATTATGAGCTGGCATAATAAGAAATACATAATAATAAAATCTGATAAATTCGGGAATTGATTAGTCTCATAATCTCGATCATCTTCGTTGATTTGAAATCATTTAAATCATGTATAATAAGTTAAAAAGTCTAGCAGATCACTAATTTTATAATTGAACTCAAGTACGACAAAGAAATAATATGCATGTCTTCAATCAGTTTATAACAATAGCAGTCAATATGATCATAGATCTATGTAGAAACAGTAAAATACATGCAAGCCTATAAATCAATACATTAGGAAGATTGGAAAAATGGTGAAGTACAAAAACGGTGAAATTTATAAACTATTGCGGATGTCGAAACAATAAAATAACAAATAATCATTATGAAATCATATATCGTCACAATACTATCTGATCAATAAAGAAATCATATAGATCAGTAAAACAGAAGCATCTGTGAAGACTATCAAAATTCATGACAATGGAATCCTATCAAGAAATTATATAGATCGAGTATTGTAGAAGAGCACGCCGTGTAGGAACAGAGCAGAAAGAAACAGAACCACAAAAAATGTTTGTGGGATGCACTTGAGTATTGTCAAAGTCGGATAGAATTCTACGAAGCCAGATAACATCTGCGACAAGGGCTGCCAAGGAGCGATATTCGGACTCTGTGGATGACCGGGCAACTGTTGTTTGTTTCTTGACGGTCCAGGAGATGAGCGTGTCACCGAGATAGGAGCAGTAGCCGGACGTTGATTTCTGTGAGCTAGGATCGCCCGCCCAATCCGCATCTGAGAAAGATTTGAGAGACAAGTTAGACTTTTTGATAGGGATACCGAAGTCGAGAGTACCTTTGAGGTAGCGAAGAAGACGCTTGAGAAGAAAGATGTGCTCCGGTAGGTTGATGCATATGTTGAGAGAGACGATTTACGCTGTAGGAGATATCTGGGCGACTTAACGTCAAGTATTGGAGAGATCCTGTGATCTTGTGGTATAGCATGGGATCGGACAGAGTTGGATCGGATTGTATAGCCTGCGGTAGTTTAGTGCACGTAGGATTTGCAAGAGAATTGCAGTCTAGGAGTTGGGCGGAGTGGAGAATAGATGTCGCATAAACCTTTTGTGACAGAAAGTATCTCTGAGCGGTTCGATCAATTTGGATACCGAGAAAGGAGTGAACCTCTCCAAGCTGCTTCATGGCAAATTTGCCGCTAAGTTGGTCCAGTATATCGGTTATGGCTTCCGGCTTGTTGCCCGTGATTAAAATATCGTCGACGTATATGAGAAGGTAAATTTTTGTTTGCAATTTGTGGAACACGAGCAACGACGGGTCTGAGGTACTATGAGAGAATCCAATCGATACGAGATAAGAAGTGAACGTGTTGTACCATTGTCGCGGGGTCTGTTTGAGTCCGTAGATGGCTTTGTGAAGGAGACATATGTGATCTGGATGCGTGGAGTCTTCGAATCCCTTGGGTTGTTGCATATAGACTGTCTCCGAAAGCGTACCATGAAGGAATGCGTTAGCCACATCTAATTGGTGTACCGGCCAGTCATGGTGGAGGGCAATAGTGAGAAGAATGCGAATGGTGGGAAGCTTTGCAACTGGACTGAACGTCTCTGTGTAGTCCAGACCATATTCCTGATGATTTCCGAGAGCAACAAGTCGCGCCTTGTGTTTGACAATGGAACCATCTGCATGACGTTTTGTCCAAAACGTCCATTTGCATCCTAAAATAGACGAGTGTGGGGGACACGGTACGAGACTCCATGTCCTTGTTGTTGGAGAGCATAGAATTCAGAGGCCATGGCTTGCCTCCAATGAGAATGTTTGTAAGCGTCTTTGAAATTGGTGGAATCTGCATTAGAATCAACCGAAAAATTAGTATGAAAGAGATTGAGACGTTGTCGAGTTTTTAACGAACTAGTTTTGGTACGCGTGACCATAGGGTGTTGCTTGTGCGTAGCCATGGGAATAACAGGTTCGGGTGAGGAATCAGCTGGGAAAATGCTGGGTCCAGACGACGGAGTAATGCTTGCGATGGGAATAGTTGCTGGAACCTCCAGGGTGGTGTAGGGTGTTAACGAATTTACCTGGGAGTTGTGAGCAGCAGATGATGGTATTAAGAGAGAGGGAGATATGTCACCAGAAGTCGGAGTATAGACAGCAGCACTGTGAGAGAATGGGTAGGAGAGCTCATTGAACGTAACATGGCGAGAGGTAGTGATGCGATTAGTTTCTGAA